GCCGGATGCTCCCAAGTGGGAGAGGCCTTCTCCTTACAACAAAGGTGGAGGCAAAGGAAAGAAAGGTAAGCAGAGGTTCATGACAAGGTTGCCCGCCGGCCTGGAGGGCTGCAGGTCTCACACTAATCGTGGTGACCCAATCTGTTTTGCATTCAATCTGGGAGGATGCCCTACCAAAGGGCAGAAGTGCGAGAAAGGCCTGCACATTTGCGCAGTGCCTAAGTGCGGTGCTCACAACCATGGTGCAGCGCAGTGCCCAAAGCGGGCTCAGGGTGGCTCGTGACTAGCGGGTCTCGAGGGTGCGTCGCTGATGGCCGGTGCTCCAGAGAGTGTGCATCAGCCGGCAGCGGGAGCCTCACAGGTGGATGATCTCCTAGAGGGAGTTCATCGGCCGAGCAATGCATGCGCCGGCGGCTCTCCTCCGAGTGGTGTGGAGTGTCGTCTGCAGTCAGGTGTTGATCGAGAGGATCATCACATGCACAACGTTGGCTCTCACAGTGCCATCTCCAGGCCATCACCAGGTGTGGTGGAGGCCGCACGCAGCAGGTCCCCGAGGCCCCGTGATGGGGCACAGTCGCAGAGAGGTTCTTCACTTGACGAGGGTCATGTGAGTGCCGCCGATGTTCTGCGAGTCTTCGATGGTCTTCCTTCGGATGCCTTGAAGAGGGGTGCCGATGCACCTCTCCCAACCTCGAAATCTTATGCCACGGGAGCGTATGTTCTTGGTGGTAATGTAGGCCTGAAGGCCAATGCCTCAGCCAACCCGGAGGCGCTCAAAGTCTTTGCAAGGTTTGTGAGACAGCGTGCACCGGGGTTTAAATTTTCTTCAATAAATATATTTGAGGATGTTCGCACTGAGCGCCATCGAGATCAGTGGAATGCCAACTTGCATAACTTGGCGATTGCACTGACTGACTTCTCAGGTGGAGCTATCTTTGTGGAGCATGAAAACGGTCGGGATGTATCCGACCTTAATGGTGCACGAGGCTCTCGCTTGCAGGTTGCAAAGGGCCCTGTCCGATTCAATGCCAGACACAATTGGCACTACACCGAGGCGTGGCAGGGCCGTAGAGTCTTGCTGGTTGCATTCACCATCCGTCATGTCGAATCGCTATGCAAGGAACATCTTGACTTTCTCCGCGAGTGTCATGTTGATGTTCCGGAATGCGCGCCCGAGGGCGCGCGGTTGGCGCCTGCTGAAGCGTGTGCTCGTCAGCCGCCATCCTTGACCTCCCCCGCAGCTCAGGAGTCGCTTAGGCCCTTGCCCGCTTCGGTTGTCCCCGCCGTTGACCCTAAGGAACCTGTGAGCGACCCTGCTAGTCCCTTGAAGCCCGGTTCTGCTCTCTATGTCGAGATAAAGTGTGGGTCCGGATTGCTGCCGGCTCGGGTGCGGCGGGACGGATTTCAAATCATAGCGCTTGAACATTCTCGCCCCGCTGGGCGAGTGCACACTCACCTTGTCCCTGTGGACATTGAAACTGAGTCGGGTTTCTCCTTTGTGCAGACTGTCATCAGCCACGACGCCCCTTTTCACGTGCATTTCTTTCCTGCGACCAAGGATTGTTTTAAGGCTACTTTTAGCGCCGGGCAAACCATTCGCATCGCCAAACTCTTGCTTGCATCTGATTCGCATTGGAGTGTCTTGCATCCCCTGGCGTCAGCCCTGTGGAAACAGCTCGACTTGCCCGACAACCTCCATTGCGTAGACTTCTGTGCAGGTTGCTACGGGGCTCCCAGTCCGGTCAAAATGCGTCTGTGCACAACCCAGGCCGCGCTGGCTGGCATGCCGGTGCCAGCATGTCGTTGTCGCCCCGGGCCCCACGCTGCGGGCTCGCTTGCACCAGATGCCTTGTACACAACCAAATTCTGTGATGTGTTTGCTGGCCTCCTGCAGCTGGCGGTTGGCCAGTCTGGCCTCTTACTTGAGCACGCTGTTCCACTGCAGAGTTCGCGGCATTCTGCCGTCGCAGCCGCTGGGCGGCAGCCTCGATTGTCAAAATTCCAGCCGCAGATCGCCGAGTTTAAGTGCCAGGCCACGGTCCGTGAGTTCCCGTGGCCCCTTCCTTTGGATAATAAAGGCAATCTCACATGTGCCGTAGGGTCCATCCCTCCTGGCTCCCGCCTTCTTCGCGTTGTGTGTGATCGGGGGGTCGTCGGTGCGAAACAGGTCGGAAGCCTGTCAGGTGTGCCTTCAGCAGTTACCTTTGGCATTTACCGCACGGAACAAGAGTTTGTGGCTCAGGCATTGCATATCGATCATCCCTTCGACTTGTGCGTGGCAGTCCCAGACTTCATGTTGAGAGCGTTGGCTTTTACCTTGAAAGAGGGCCCGGTTGGTGTGATGAAACACCGTCTGAATTTGCTCCAGCAGTGGACTTCTTGGAAACGCGATTTGGCTGGTGCCGAAGCAAACCTGCATGCTGCCATGGATCCTGGTGTGGCTTCTGTTATGAAGGGCAAGAACATTTTGCTTTTGGAGAAGATTGCATCGTCTTTCGGTTGGCCTGACACTGAAGTCTTCGATCACCTTAAGCATGGGTTTCCTTTAGTGGGGGAGTCGAGTCCTTCTGGCATCTTCGATGTGGATAGAAAACCGGCTCTGATGACAAGGGCAGAGCTTGTGCAGCATGCTAAATTCCTTAGGCCTGCGCTGTGGGCGAAGGTGGCGAACGCGGAGGTGGATGATTTAGCTTGGGAAGTGTGGGACTCCACACAGCAAGAGATGCTAGTCAAGGAGTGGCTAACCGGGCCTTACTCGTGGGACGAGCTGCAAGCCCGTCATCCAGAAGGCTGGCTTCCAGTGCGGAGGTTCGGCATTGTGCAAAAAGCCAAGACGCGGTCGATAGACGATTTGGCCGAGAACTCTGTAAACTGCGCTTATGCTGTTTCCGATCGGATTTCTTTGAGGGCCCTTGATGAATTGGTCTGGCTTGCGATCACCCTCTTTAAGATCTTCATTGCAAAAGGCGAGGTGAGCATCCCTTTGTCGGACGGTGGCCATCTTCGCTTTCCGGTGCATTCTTTCTGGAGGGCCCTGAAACCCGATGCGCTTCAGCCGAGCTTGAAAACAGTGGACTTGAAGAGTGCTTATAAACAGTTGGCGGTTTCTCCACGAGACCGCTGTCTGAGCATAGTGGCCATCAAGGACCCGGTTTCGAGGCTTGCGTTTGGCTTCGAGAGCCGAACCCTTCTGTTTGGGGCCACCTCGTCGGTGGTTTCATTCAATCGCGTTGCAAGATTGCTCCAAAGGGTTCTGGTTGCGTTGCAGGTGCTCGCCTGCAACTACTTCGACGATTACCCGGTTTTAGAGGTCTTGCCGCTTTGTAACAACACGCAGTCGACTGTCAGAGCCGCGTTGGACCTGCTGGGTTTCGCATGGGCAGAAGACAAGGATCTTCCCTTCAGCCATGAGGCCGAACTACTAGGCGTTCGGGTTGACCTTGGCAGCTTTGGGGTCGTTAAGATTGGGAATAAGCCCGAACGTGCTACTGCCATCGCTGAGGCGGTGGACTCCGTCTTGAGTGCGGGCCATCTTGATCCGAAGACCCTGCCGTCTTTGTTCGGTCGCCTCCAGTTTGCCGAGGGTCAGCTGCACGGGCGATTGGGCAGATTGGCGCTGGCCGACCTTAGGGCGTGCACGATGAGTTCTCAGGCCAAAACCCTTGATGCCACGGCTGTGCAGGCCCTTTGTAATCTTAGGTCCCGGGTTCTTGGGGGTACCCCTAGGATAGTCCCGGCTTGTGTGGGGTCTCGTCGTTCTGTGATTTTCACAGATGGAGCGTACGAGCCGACGAATGAAACTCACCCCGCCACTGTCGGAGGAGTCTTGTACCATTTCGACAACGGCGCGTGGTGCACTTTCTTCTTTGCATGTGCTATCCCTTTGAGCGTTGTACAGAGCTGGGAGGCTCTCGGGAAAAGGCATTTGATAGGCCCAGTTGAGATGTATGCAGTGGTATGTGCGAGAGAAGCGTGGGCAAAGCACTTGGACATGCAAAGGGTGACCATGTATGTGGATCACTCCGGAGTGTTGGCCTCTTTGGTGAAAGGCTCTTCGAAAGACCCTTTGTGGAGGCAACTCTTGCTGATCTTTGAGAGCTGCGACGCTGAGGCGATGCTCCCTTGGTTTAGCCGCGTTCCAAGTGCAAGTAACCCGGCCGATCCTCCTTCGAGAGCTAAGTCAATCTTTCCAGTCAGGGGGCAGGTGTGCAGAGTGTCGCCTCGATGCCCGATCAAAGGCAATGCCACGATTGATCTCCTTCTTAAGTGAATGGGGTGTTCGTTGGCGATCCTCGTGTTCGCCATCGATCGGTGCGGGGATGTCACGACTTCCCCCTTCGGCTTTGCCGGAAGGAAAAAGCGCCACATCTGCTTGAGCAATTTTCTTATTCTTTATATACTTTGAGTTTCCCATATAGCTTGGGAATACTGTGATTGGAATCTTACTTTAGAAATAAAGCAAAGCTCCGTGGAAAATAAGCGACACATGAGGCTTGCCTCTATTAGCTTTATTTTCCTAGGAGAGTTTTGAAAATTATTGCGAAGTTTTCAAAACGCCTTTGCTTTATTTTGAACCACATTTCATGGCATGAATGCATGCTTTGAATCGTCTGAGTTCATCTCTTTTATTTCCCGCGCCGCCTCGAGACAGGGGTGGGATGGGTGGGTAGCTGCTCCCTGGCCAAAGGGCCGGAAATTTTTGTCCCTCCCTCCACTCCCGGGGTGTTCGTTGGCGATCCTCGTGTTCGCCATCGATCGGTGCGAATCTAACTTTAGAAATAAAGCAAAGCTCCGTGGAAAATAAACTGATTGAAATCAACTGCTTGATCAGCCTCTTCGATGATCTTGAGAAGGAGTTTGAGCCGAAAGGATCACGCCACATCATCACCATTGGCTCTGTTGACCCCTTGCAAGTAGAAAAGCTGTTTGATCATCAGCCTGTAGCGTGGAACGATGAGAGTTATGACGGCGAGTATGCTGATGCACCGCCCGATGAAAACATGCTTGAAGAGGATGAAAAGGCTGAGGATGTTGATGAAGGTGCCGGTGTAGGACCCGTGTCCCTCGCCGAAGTTCCTTCGCAGGGTCATGTTGTGGTCAATGGGGTTGAACTGCATCCCGGGTGTACCCTTAAGACCCTAAGGTCGGCCTGTGAGGTTCTTGGAATAGGCAAGTCCGGAGGAAAGCAGACGGTCTTTGCGAGGATCGAGCAACACTTGAAAACCCAGGAGTTGCTGCAACAACATGCTTTCCAGACTGATGGTGTGCCATTGCCGCTTGAACAAAAGTTTGTCGAAGAGCCAACTGCAGAGCAGAAGCGACGGCACGAGCTCAGTCATGTGCCGTATGCCGATTGGTGCCCACACTGTGTAAAGTTCCGCGCCAAAGCCGACAAACATGTGTCGAGCAAACCTGAGCTGCGGGACGATTCGGTGTGCAGCTTCGATTTTGCTTATACAGGACGGAGCAGCCCAGCTGAGTTTGAAGGTGCGTCAAAGGACAAGCTTGTTTGCCTTGTGATCAAGGACTCCCACACTGGAGCGATGCATGCTGTGCCAACGCCAGCCAAGGGCGGACCGGTTGCTTTCAAGTATCTTGTTGCCGAAGTTTGTCGGTTCTTGAATTACTGTGGGCATGAGTCCGTCACGATCAGGTCTGACGGTGAGCCAGCTTGCTTAGCACTTCAGCAGGGCATTAAAGCTTTTAGGACCAAGATGGGGTTACGCACCCACTTGGAACAGACCGAGCCAGGTGACCACCAGTCAAACCCGTCTGAACAGGCCATTGATAGCATCCGGCAGCTTGCAGGATGCATTCTTGACCAGTTTGAGGAGCGTGCCCAGACAACTGTAGGTGCAATGCACCCGCTGCACGGCTATGCTTGGAGACACGCGGCATGGCTTCACATGCGAATGTCGCGGCACAACGATCTCAGTGCGTTTCAAGTGATCAATGGCCGGCCGTATGCAGGGAAACTCGTTTGCTTCGGGGAAAATGTTTACGCGAGAGTCAAGAGCAGTGTCAAAGGAAAAGCACGCTGGTGCAAAATGCTTTGGCTTGGAAAACTTCCTGTATCGGACCTGCACTTTGGAGTCACCGAGGGAGGATTCATGCTGTCCTCAAGGTCCGTTAGACGGTTGCCAAAGCAATATGATTCATCCTTGTGCGCCAAGCTGCGCGACATGCCTTGGAGCCAAGCGTCTTTTCTTGCAGGCCAAGTTGGTCAAGCACGCAAGCAGAAAACGCTTGAGAGTGATGAGGGTGCCGGAACCGAGCCTCAGGTTGAGCAGCAAGCCGAAGTGCCTTCACAAGCAGGTGCGGCGGAGAATCCTTTGCCGTTTCCGGGTCATCTGTTGCCCGACGATGCAATGCTGCAAGAGTTTGTGCCACCGCTGCCCCGAGAGCCAGTGTTGCATTCACCTGAGCCGCCCACGCCTGTAGCGGCCACTCCAGGGCAGCAAGCAGAAACGCCGATGCAAGTTGAAACGGCCTCGCCACTTGTGTCGTTCGATGATGGGCCTGGGATTGCTTCTTCGTCCTCTGGGATAGCACGTCCTGCGACTGAGGAAGCAGGCGGGGAAGCTCCAGCCCGAAAGAAACTTCGTCTTGATGCTGTTCAGACAAGTGCATATGACTGTGAGATGTTCCATCATGATGAGGCTCCAGAGCTTCTTGATGAAAGTGCAGAGCAGTTTCTTGACTGTCAGGATGAGTCCATTTGGGACACCGATGATTGGGCTGATGACTCAGCCAATGCACCTGGCATCCCGAGTATTTTGATTAAGCCTTTCAGTGAAACTGAGCCAGTGTGCGATGCATCCGAGCTTGAAGCCATTGATGCTGCAGCAGATTCCTTTGAGCTTGAGCGGTTGACAAAGGCCGGTGTTCTTGAACAAAGTGAGTCCTGGCTTGAAGGGCATCGGACATTGTCTTCAAAGTACGTTCGCACCTGGAGGCCCAAAGTGATCAATCAGGAGCGCGTTTGGTTGCGCAGAGCCAGGTTGGTTGCGCGCGAATTTGCGCACCTAGATCCGGGCAGGCAACACTTGTTTGCACCGACGACGACCCAGTGCATGCTGAGAATTGTTCCATCGCTTTTCATTCGCAACTTTGGGGACGGTTGGTCTCTACTGAGTCTTGATGTGTCTGACGCTTTCTTGCAGTGCAAGCAACAGCATGATACCTTGACAAAAGTTGATGGAAAATGGTATAAACTTTTCCGAATGCTGCCTGGGCAACGGGACGGATCTGCTACCTGGTTTCAAGATTTTATGTGTGAGATCCGCACAGCTGTTGCTGCTGAGCCATTGGCAGAGCAGCCAGTGTTGTTTCGCATCCCACATGCGGAAGGCAACCACAAGTGCCAAGGAGGTGGAATGGTGCATGTAGACGACATGCTTGCGGCAGGATTGACCGCACGCCTTCAGGAGCTTGAGAATCACTTGAAGTCAAAGTTCAAAGTGTCCAGTGAATGGATCCGCCAAGTCGGCGACGAGGTTTCCTTCTTGAAGCGGCGACTGATCCTAGTCAGCCCCAATTTGCTGGTTGTTGAGCCTGATATCAAATATCTTGAGAAACTCTTGAAGATCGCTGGACTAGATGGTGCCAAGGAGCGGTACAAGGCGGCCCCGTTCCCGACTGGAGGCCTGCCGACAGACCTTTCATCGGACCGCGAGCTGAACTCAGAGTCAGCATCAAAGTATCGCTCAGCACTTGGTATCCTAATGTACCTTGCTTCTGACCTGTTGGCGTGTCAATTTGGGATTCGGTTCTTGTCCACACATGCTCACAAGCCTACCGAAGGCTGCTGGAAGTTACTGAGGCATCTGACTGCCTATGTGAATTGCCATAAGTCACATGTGCTTGGTTTGGCAAAACCCCAGCTTGGGCAAGGACTGATCTGCAATCGCGTGTCTGAGCAGAAAACTTCTACCCTCGAAATGTTCTCAGACAGTGACTGGTCCGGGGATAAGAAGACGCGCAAGTCCGTATCTGCATGTTGCATTCTTTGGGACGGGCAGCTGCTCCACTCGAGTAGCCAAACACAGAAAGTGATCAGTCTTTCTTCGTGCGAGGCTGAGTACAACTCCCTGGTTGCTGGTGCGGCAACTGCCATCCTCCTTAAGAATTGCGTCATACACTTGTGCCCGGAACTGCATATTGCACTAACATGCTTGTGTGACAATGCAGCAGCTAGGTCGCTTGGGAATCGCCAAGGAGTCGGACGGACTCGCCACATCGACGGAAAGCTGTTGTGGCTTCAGCAGATGACTCAGGAAAAGATGCTGGACATTTCACCGGTTGGAACCGCGGAGAATGTTGGTGACCTTCCCACGAAGCCGCTAAAGCCGGAGAGAGTTGAGTTCATCCTTGCACGGTTGAATGTTCGTGACAAGGATTGCGGCTATGCCTTGGTTGGGAACGCCCATTTGCTTGATCACAGGACGCGACATCATGTGAGTCGCATTGTGAAGCGAGGAGCAGTCAACCCACAGCTTGTGCTTCAGATCCTTGCATTGGCGTTGCAAGCAGATTCTGTCGCCAGTGCCGATGATGAGCCCAATACGCATCGCGATGACGCCTTGAGCCAGGGGACTGGCGAGCACGGTTACGGGGAGATGTTTTGGAATTTTCTTGAACAGTTGCTGTATGCGATTTTCTTGATTGCTGATTTCCTTGCAGAGCATCCCATGCCGAGTTTTATCGTGAGCCAATGCGTTATCATTGCAGTGCTGTGTGGTATCTTCTTGTGCCGTGGAAACAGGCCAGAAAGGTTGCATGAGAAGGCAAGTGAGGCAGCTGCGTGCAGCGATGGCAGCGCGCCGCAGGTGATGCCGGGTGTGTGCGTCAATGTGACGGTCGAGGGAGCCAAAGTTTCGGTTGATAGTGTAGTCCCGAAACCTGCCGAAAGCCCTAATCCTTGCGCCTTGGCCAGCCCTAAGAGTAGTGCCAGGCCGTGCAGTGCGAGTGTGCTTGGACAGAGCAGCGGCCGAGCTGCTGATGACCATGATGCTCCCGACCCGACAGCGCGATCATGCAATGGACCTGCGGTGCAGCCAAAAGCGCCGGTGCAGCCGAAAGCACCGAACCCAGCAGTCGCATGTGCATCTGTACTTGACCAGCGTATCAGAGATGAGCTTGATCAGCAGATAGTGTGGGTGACTAAGTCGCGTGGTTATGCATACCATGGCCGCCGGAGTTGCGGCAACTTGCATAATGCCAAAGCACTTGAGCGTCTTACGCGTGGAGAGGCAGTGCGCCGAGGCTTTAAGCCATGCAAAGCTTGCTACGGTGGCTGACTTGTTACAATGCTCTTGATGCGCCAATCCTTGAGTGCGCTGCTTCGGGCAGTGCACTGATCGGTTGGATTCTTGTACAAAGGCTGCTGGCGACGACGATTGTACATAGTCTTGTGTTTGAGCAAAACATGACAGGACTTCGAAACAGCATTTTGCTGTCAATCTCGATTCACGTACGAACTACTTTGGCAGCTGTGGAGCAGCTGCGAGTCCGAAGGAGTAGGCTCACGAGCCACTCGATGCAATTAGGCATCTCAATCCTTGTGCTGATCCCTTAGGAATCATGCTTCAACGTGGCGTGGCAGCTGCGAGCTGCACTGATGCCACATGCGCCTACGCTTGGGTGAGTCAAGCTATCGTCTCGTGGGCGACGCACGCCCTCAGAGACGGTGTAACCTAGTCGTAGATGTACAGTTCTACGTAGTCGAACAACGTATCGAGCCAACGACCTTTTGGGGCAGTGCTCATGAAAAGTAGCCTGTGAGTCGAGTGCTATCTTGAACTAAGCAAGCTGTTGTTTCGTACGGGGTGAGGCAAACTAGATTATGCCGAAGACTTCAACCCGCGAGCTCAATGAAGCTTCGTAGGCGGGGTGTTTATTATTTTGCCTCCTAGGAAACCCCATGCATTTTATCTTGATTTACTTTATCGTATTTCATGCACTCATGAGTTTCACATCGTGATTGCGCTATACTCCGCAGGCGTCTTTGAGGATTCAAAACATTTTCACATCTGCTTTTGTGTTGAAAGAAGGCGTCTGTTCACGTCTTTTTTTTGTTATTTTTTCGATTTCGTGTTGCATCTGCTTTTGTGTTGAAAGAAAGCGTCTGTTCACGTTCTTTTTTTTGTTATTTTTTCGCTTTGTTGACGGTTTAGGCGGCTTCAAAGGCGCGGGAGAGTTTGCAATTTACAAAAAGCGGAGGGGTTGCGGCCCCCATTCAGCTTTTAAGAGAGGGCCCCGCTGAACGATTTTATGCGGCCTTTGTGTGTCTCAGGTTCAACCCAGGCAACCTGGGTTCTGGGTTGTTGTAGGAACCCAAGTCCAAACCCAGATTCAAACCTGCATCACACATCGAGCCAGCTCGGAAGACCCCTTCAAAAATCTTTGAAGTCCCTTCAAAGCCTTTGAAGCTCTCTTCAAAGTCACTTGAGGCCTCTTTCTTCAAAGTTCCTTTGGAGATTTACTGCTTCTGCCATTCTGACAAACAGGAGCGTGCTATGTGCGCACCTTTCTACGCAGACGGCTGGGCATTATTAGTGGAACGCTTGTGTACTGTTTCATTGCGTCAGTGCCTGGCCATGGCTTTGTCAGAGTTTTTAATAACAAGCGAGAAGGGAGTGTGGTTCGGTTTCGTGTTTTCTGCCATTGCATCTCAGCAGGCGCTGAGAGGAACGTGCGCCAGGTTTTTTTTTATCATTTCGTCCATCGATTTTGCAACACAGCCAGCCCCAGGCAGCCATTGCCTGTACAGCATCCCATGAAAAAAAACTCAAAGTCAAATACACAAGAAGCAGCAAATTCAGAAATTGTTCATATCAAGCCTGCTCCAAGAAAGCTAAAAGCAGTTCGAACCGTGTCGTTCACTTTCTCGCAATTTGTACTTCTTTTTTTTGTCTTGAATGCGATTTGTGCTGCTTCCGTTTCGTGTGAGAGCTTGACATTTTTGCTGCTTTCTCAAAAGAAGATGGAAGCAGTCTGAGAAAGCTTTCTTTTGTTTTTTGGCGTCATCCGGTCTTAATGACCCTCAGAATGAAAACAGCAAGAACAAAAAAGTAACAATCGATTGTACAAGCTTGAGACAAGGTGGGTCGTTAGCATCAATTTTTGAGCATTCGAAGCAGCTACTGCCACTCAAAGCTGTCTGAACACGGATCGGCAAAAATTTAAAGGTCATGCATGGTTTCTGCCTGAATCGGTTTCGGTGCACCGAAGAGAACCAATGCAAACGTCCGAGCCAAGTTGAGTCCAAAGTGGCAGTAAGGGGCACAGGAGCGAGAATGGAGGCTGAGAAGCGAGATCGAGGCTGGAGTAGGGCATTTTATGGCTGAACGACGTCTTGCCGGCAAAATCTGCATGTCGCAGCCCGTGTCACCTTGTTACGGATATGTTTCCACTTTTTGTACAGTTTCTTAGTTGTTATTGTACTTCTTCGCTTTTTTTGCTGGGATCGAGCGCAGCAGCCGCTGTCACCGAGGCCCGCACACGCCAAAAAAAAAACAGGCAATGGTTCCTTGCCTGGATCGGTTTCGGTGCACCGAAGAAAACCAATGCAAACGTCCGAGGCCAAGTTGAGTCCAAAGTGGCCAGTAAGGGGCACAGGAGCGAGAATGGAGGCTGAGGAGCGAGATCGAGGCTGCCAGCTGAGACTCAGCCGCTGGAGAAAGTGTGTTGACTTTGTTTGTGACCCTGAGCCTGATTCTGATTCTAATGATTTATGAGAATCAACGATCGATGTCATGATGATTGCTTGGACTGGTTTGAATCATTGAGCATGGTCTGCCAATGTGTGACGATTTTATGCTGACAGGATGAGAGTTGATGAACATGCATGAAGTTGACAGTGAATTTCACCGAATCTGCCGAAAACCCTTGGTGATTATGCTTTGATGGTTATGATTCATGCAACGCATGAGACACGGTGTGTTTCAATTTCAAGCAGCTTTCGAATTTTCAAGAAATCTGCCTGCAGTGTCTGTTCCTTCCACGAGCTACACTGTTTGATTTGCTCTTTTCAAAGTATGGCATCGAAGACTTCTCACTCTCCCACTGCGTGTTTTCTGCCATATTGTTTTTACACACAACATGGACATGGACTTCTTTGAACTGAACAGCCACAGTAAAAACCAAACTGCAATGGAAGCGTTCAATGCATTGCAGCAAGAAGCCCACGGAGAAGACGTTCCCAAACTTTGACCTAGAGCCTCTTTCCGGAACACAAGTTAATTCATGTTCTGTCCAAATTCTCTTTATGGAGGGCTTCAGTGACAACAGTGATGGAGCAGTTTTTGCAACTTTGGATTGGAGGAACTCCAATGGCGTCAAGACTCGTCGAGTTGCGCCAAGCTGCATGGCTTGATCTTGCTGCGCTGGTTGAATGTACAGGTTGGTTGCCTTCTTGCTTTTTTGTTGGAGACGACTTTTTCTTCTTGGTTACCGCATTTTCGTGTTGCTTTTCAATGTGTGTTTTCGAAGGATCAGAAGGCGCCAGAAACTGCTTTTTGTTCGCTGGAGAAGACGTTTCATTTCAATTATTCTTGTTTCGTTGCGTTTTCGTGGCTCTCTTCTTCTTTCTGATCACGCAAGATGCCATGGCAAAAGGTCTGAGCAGGTGGCAGGTGGCATTCGTGTTTCCGTCCGTCTTCGCTGAGCAGAAGCAGCTCCGATTGAAATTGTTATGTTCTGTTTTCGTGCCGTTCGAAATCCAGAAACGCCGAATGTTTGTCAAGATGTAAGCCTAATAAAGTGTTTTGACTGGAAAGTGATGCGATAACGCCTGCTTGTCAGAGATTGCAGACCGTAGTTGCAGTGCAGCAATGGTCATGCACAACATGTCTTATCTAAGACATACCAGTATGCTGATTTGCCGGGCGAAGCCATGCAATTTGGTCGGTCTGGATGGACTATGTTCATGTCGTCTTTCATCAGCTTTGGTTGTGGAGATGTTTGCAGCAGATGGAAAGCTTTCGTTATGGAGCCGCAAGCTTGGGAACACAAAAGATCCTGTGAACCAGAATCCGAAATCGAGAAGCCACTTTTCAATGCGGGTTCGGACAGCTAGTGTTGAAGTGTTGAAGCTCAGATGAAGGGCTCTGGGATGAACCCCAATTCGCAACATTGGAAGAGTCACGAGTGTCAGTGTGAGTCCGAACAGCGTTCGAACCCAAAGGTCGAACATTGGAGCTCATGTTTTTCGAGCAGCAACAGCTTGTAATGGTTTGCAGCTTTGGCTCGGTCCTGGCAACTCAACATGTTCATGGTCAATGGTCCTTTCTGCAGCAAAATCACAGCATTAATTTGATGTTCGGCCCTGTGCTGCATGCTATGTGCGACTCCTACTTAACAAAGGACGTGATGATTTGCCAAGATGATGTGGGCATCCTCTCAGAGCTTCACATCCAAATGCAGGCATTCCAGTGGGACGTGGGTCAGTTCTGCAGTAGTTTGCGAGTGCACCGCATGTCACATGTCAGTACCGGTAGTCGTCGCAATAGCCGTGGCAGTGGCAGTGGTAGTGGCAGAAGCGGAAGCAGTAGCAGTGGCAGTAGCAGAAGCAGTGGAAGTGGCAGAAGCAGTGCCAGTGGCAGAGGCAATGGCAGTGGCAGCGGCAGTAGCAGTGACAGAAGCAAGTAGCAGCAGCCGAAGCAGTGGCAGTAGCAGTGACAGTATAGCAGTGGCCGTGGCAGTAGCAGTGAAAGAAGCAGCAGCAGCAGTAGCCGAAGCAGTCACAGTAGCAGTGGCAGTGGCAGTGGCAGGGGGGAAGCAGAGCTGTGGCAGTGGCAATAGCAGTGGCAGAAGCAGGAGCACTAGCAGCGGTACGAGTGGTGGTAGTCATGATAGTAGCAGTGGTAGTAGTGGTAGTGGCCCACAAACTAACATGCCGGACAAGCAGGGCTGCAAGGCACACGTTTTGACGGCTGTGCACCTTGCCAGTGTGAAGCACGGCAGTGTAGTCAGCATTCCGCGGGGGGCATGTCGTGCGGCAATCATTATGGCAGCTGTGCTACATCAAGACGACCAGTGCTCAACTTCTTTTTTCGTACCGGGCTTCGAGCAAGAAACGACAGATCAGTAGAGGCACTAGCAGAAAGCAGCTGTTTTCCAGTGTGAATGTTTTGCCATGGCTTTCGTCGCATCTCTGCTGTCCTGAGCCATCCGGGCTTCGGAGCAGGGGCCGGAGCCTTGGTGTATCTCACGCCCGTGTTGCGGCGGACAGATGTTGGTGCATTCGGCTGGCATTTTGGGTTGCGCTGTCCCGTGATTGCTCTGTCCAGGTCGTCTG